CACACTGACTCCTGGTCCTGGTCGCACACTGACTCCTGGTCCTGGTCACACACTGACTCCTGGTCCTGGTCACACACTGAGCCGCGATCCTGGTCACATGTTAAGCCCTGACCCTGGTCACACAGGTCGTGAGCCCTGTCCTTCATTATAGACTGAACTTTGATCACGGTCACCCTCTGAGCCCTGATCCCGTCACACACTGAGTCCAAACCTGAGTCTCTGCTTTGATGACTTGTGCTTATTCACACGTCATTACTCATGACATACGCTTGCAGGGCTGCCTCCTCCTCCAGCCACATGCGACTCTGGACCACATGACACAGTCACTCTTGGAAAGCATGAGTCAGAGGCATCCACCCACCACTGCAGACCCTTCAGCCTGCTCTCCTGCAACTGTGCGCACACACACTGCAGGCATAGGCTCAACACCCACACTCGCGACATCTGCCGAGGCTCTGTAAACACTGAGGGAGCTCCCTGCAGGCCCCCTTGTCCCAGACACCGGAGTTAAGGGACCAAATCCTACCTTCTCTGGCCCAGCTAGCCTTGCACCTTGGCCTGGCATCATGGCCCAGAGGTCTCCTTGCTCCTGGACCAGCCTGGCCTGAGTATTCATACCAGTTGTTGTGTCAATGGACTTTGACTCAGTGACCCCCGAGTACAACAGATGCAGAACTTAGCTCATCCCGCACCATCCTCGTTAAGCTTGTGGTTGTGTTCACTGTGTCAGTCAATCTCCTTGAGGGTCTTCGTCCCCCTCATTGACCTTCCACTTTTCCAAGTATGAGATCCTTCTCCAAGGACTGGCCCTTCTGATAACATATCCAAAGTGCACAAGATAAAGCCTCACTACCCTTACCTCTTAGAAGCACTCCCAACACTTCTTACAAGTAACTCCAGTAGGGATTACAAATACCTTGACATATCCTGTGTCATTACTCAGCCAGGTGTGTCTCTACCTGTGGAGGGGACAGTGGTGGCCTTTCAGTCATGTCTGTATCCATAAAACTCAGCCCTGCCCAGGTGAGGGCAGTTGTGGTTATAAGTGAGGAAATGAATGATGGATGCAAGGGTAGATGGTGGGTGAGTGGATAATTGATGTCCCTGGTTGAGTGAATGGATATATAGTAGATCGATGCATGGCTGGATGTGTGGATTGAGAGGGTAATAAATAGGTGGCTAATGGACAAAAGTCAGATGGATAGGGTATCAGTCTCCCTGGGCAGCCAAAACAAACGATCACAAAGTGAGTGACTAAAAGAACAAAGATTTATTCTCTCACAGTTAAGAATTCTGAGTTGAGAATATTGGCTCTGCCATGCTTTCTGAGGCTCTAGGGGAGGCTGTCTCTGTGTCAGTCACAGCTGCTGGTCCCAGGTGGTCCTTGGCTTGATGGCTCACTCCAGTGTCTGTCCCCACTGTCATATGGCGTTCTCTTCCCTGTGTGTTTATTTGACTCTGAATCTTTTCTCCTTTTCTGATAGATACCAGTCATTTTGGATTAGGGACAACCCTACCCCATCATGAGGTTATGATCTTAGGGTTGCTTTGTTGTTGTTATGTGCCATTGATTCACTTGCGACTCATAGAGACCCTATGTTAGTTAACTAATTTTATTTTCAAAGACCCTTTTTCCAAACAAGGTCACATTCACATATAATAAGAGCTAGGACTGCAACAGGTCTTGTGAAGACAACAATCCAACCTGTAACCAAAAAATAGATACATAAATGGGTGTGTCAGTGGACCATGTAGCTAGAATACTCCTTGGATACCAGGATGGTGAGATTGGATGCATGGACGGATGGATGGATGGAGGATGGGTGGGTGGGTAGATGATGGATGGATAGATGGATGGATGGATGGATG